ACTGCCGTTTATCTTATACTTTTCCAGGTGAGATGTTTGGTGAGACTAAAGGGACTTCTTTAGAGAAATTGTCTTCAAAATTTTCCATCATGCATAGGTGCTCATTTGTGGGCTTGAAGTTACTAAAAGCACTGTGTTTGAAAAATGTGAATGTTAGCGGAGATGTTCTTGAGTGCCTTTTATGCGCCTGCCAAGTTCTTGAACAATAATGCGTGCATGGCTCGAACGATCTGGTACATTGCAAGGTTGCTGGGCCATCTCTTGTGTTGAAGTACTTGGAAATTGACTATTGCTTCAACATCAAGTCCATGGTGATCAGCAATGTGAATCTTGTTGCTTTGAAATATTTGGGACATGAAATAAGTTTGCTTCTTGAGAATGTTCCCCTTCTTGTTGAGTTATCCTTTGGTGGGCTGGTTTCTTGTTATTGGGAGGATTTTTTTCCGCAGCTTTCATGCTGCCTTTCTCAACTGCAGACTTTAACATTGAATGACAGTATGTTTGAGGTTAGCATGTGCATTGTGATGTGTTTGCTTTATATTGCAATTATCTTGCAGTTGGAGCCTTACTCTTTGTTCATTTTTTCAAGGAATTTTCAGGGCTTCAGGGTCTCCTGAGTTAGTCTTAAAAAGTTTGTATTAAATTCCGTAGCAGATTGTGACGATTATTGCCTCCTCGGATACACTTCATTCATAAAGGCATCTCCAATCTTGGCGAAATTTGTGTTACAGGTGATGTCTGTGCTTTACAATATAACAATAAACTTTATTTCAACTGTACTCTTGATCATAGAAATTTGATGCATGAAAATCTCTTATTATGCATTTGACCATGGTCCAGTATTTTCGTATGATGTCAAGATAGGAGGGTTTACAGGGTCTTGCAAGTGTTCTTTACCACCTAATGAGCCAATAAACTGCATCCCAATTTAGGGAAATCATGAAATACTATATGCTAACCACTGCTCACATATATGACTACATGTTCATGTCTACCCTGGACTTGCTTCTAAAGTATACCCCATTTCTGTAGAACACAGTCAGGTTGCATCCACGTGTGGTGTCCAAAAGAAAGGGCATGGGGAAGTGATAGGTTGTTAAATGTTAAAGGAAATTTTCATGATTAGCAAGGAATAAACAAATATAAAGTTTTTTAGTTTGTCTTCTATAGTTTTTGCTGATTTTTTCATTTTGTATTTTTATTGAAAGGCCTTCTTTTTTTCTTTTTTTTTATTTCCAAGGAAGGTTTCTTAGTGTCTGTAGCTGGTTGCTATATGGTTTATTAACTTCATTCCCTCCTTGTGGAAGCATTGAGATTGGCTGATATCCCGTTTTCCCTCAGGTAGAATGGACGAGCACTTCCTCAATTGACAAAAGGAAAGTCAGGAAGGCTGAGAGATGTTCCCATCAACACCTCGAAGAGGTGGAGTTGGCTGGGTATTATGGTCGCATAACTGACCTGGAACTTGTCATGTACTTCTTCGAGAATGCAGTTGCCTTCAAGAAAATTATTGTTGATCCTCGTGATCCATATTCATTAGGCCTCCCAAAGAAGATTAAGGAAATCAAGAAGGAAAACGCTGCAAGAGTTCGTGCGAAACAGCAGTTGAAAGGTAGAGTACCAGCGGGTATTGAATTCGTGATCCTTTGAGTTATGTCTGAGAATTAGTAATTATGTAGGAACTTAAACTGGCAACTGGGTACAACTCGTTTAAAAGAGTTTCAAGGGCTATCTATTTCTATGTTGGACCTCATCTGCTGCTGGTGCTGTTGTATTTTTGGTGAGGATCAGGTGGTACCTTCATATTTAAGTACTGAGAGATTCTTTCTAATGTATTTTTTTCAATATTAGTTATCTGTCTTAATTTCAAGTAAGGTATTTTTGAATGTTAATTCGTATTTTTTGATGACAGTTGAAACTTATAACTGTTATCTCATCAAAAATACCATTAAGACAGAGCTATTATCCCCATTATTTATACATAATTAAGTTTCTCAAATTTTTCCGATAATAGTTATGTGACATATTTCGTTGTGTGGTTACATTATTTAAGTCGGTCAAGGAATATAAAATTCTATCAAAACAAAAAACAAAAACTTCAAATTATTTAAACGTGTTTAAAAATTTGAATCATGAAAAGAAATTGCATCCCAATGAATAAATAATGCTTATGAAAATGTAACTTACAATACATCTGAACTGGGTAAAAAATCTCGTCTACAGGCCGTAACGCCTATTCCAGCGCTAGTTGGTGAATAAATTAGTGTTCAAGTTTGGGATAGGTACACTCAATCACTGGTTTTGGTATGTGAAATTAGGATTTTATTTTGACCATGTTAGGGGTGAGAGGAATGGGGAATGAAGGAACGCTTCAGATGAAAATTGGTATGTGAAATTAGGGTTTTGGTAGTTGCTTAATATACAGTTTGGCTTTAATATCCCTGACGGTTGAGCCACGTGAAAAACTCACATGCAATTTCTCGCTACTAATTTTGACAATGCTCCACAAAAGAGCCAGGTTGCTACAAATCAAGGAGTTGGAGGGTTGAATTTACACAAAATTGAGTTTAAGGGCTAAATTGATACAAAAAACATAGTTCATGGGACACATGTGTAGTTCACTCCTAAAAAAAATAGGACCCTATCAAAGATGTTTTTTTTTTTGCAAGTAATTATCAAAGAGTTAATAAAAAAAAAGGTGCTTTCATAAGCACTACTTGTATTTATTAAAGTCGTTGCCTATGTTGTGGGAATAGAATGACTTTGTAATTCATCCTTTAATATTACAATTAAACGATCTCTGTGCATATTTATGTTATATAAAATATAGTATACACGTAATAAACAATGTAGTCAATAGTATGTAGGAAGATACCATTCAGCCTCAACAAAACTGATACCACTCAACTTCTACAAAATATGGACAAAAAGGTGCAAAATAATATTTATTTTATCTAATTCAACTCAGTCATAGTCATATTAAAGTAAGATATAATGTTTTTTTAAATTTAAAAATGTATTTATACTTTACTAATTTTATGTTAAATTTTTCATCGGTCCATCATTTATTTTATAAGCTCAGTTGAGATCATCTCTCATCTTTTTGAGAAATTAATTCCTTAGTAAAGTCAAAAATGGTTTTGGGTCAAGACATATTACTATTTATATCTAGGAAAATTTGGAAACTAGTACAAAAATTTGGACTTAATTGAGATAAACTACGTTAAAAAAACTTATTTAACCCTAAATACTTTTTTTTTTTTAAAAAAAGACTAAAAGATTATTTATTACTCTATTACTCTCTCTCTCACACACACACACACATATTGATAATTTATTTTTTTTCAAATATGTAAAGATTTAATTTAATTTTTTCATCTCTCTCCCCTATTTTCTCTCTCTTTCTCACTCTCTCCCTCTATTTTCTCTCACCCTTACTCTTTCTCTCCTTATTCTCTCTCCTTACATTAACATCAAAACAATACAATTACATCAATCAATTACACAATTAATTGCAATTATCTATAATACACCAAACAGTTTCTCATGCGTTCTAATAAACTAAACAGTTATACTAAAGAAGTATACAAAATTACAACACAACACAATTTATAATTTAGTTATTTACATAAATCAAAGAGTTAACAGTATTTAGTATCACGACATAATTATATCAATTATATACACCAAATTAAATTTATCATTACACAAAAGAATCTAATGCCTTACTTTTCTCAAGCATGTTATTGTAGTATCAATACCTTAGGAGGGGTGAGGAAATCAATCGCAGAATTAAGGATTACTTGTACATTAAAGTTGTCATCAAGGCAAAAAAATTGTAATTTAACTTTAAAAAATTATAATTTTAAGTACGGTATTGTCTACGGCGCTCAATATCTTAATGATAAAATAGAAAAAAAACAATAGCAATCCACTTCAACATCTTAAAGATAAGAATGAATTGTAGATGAGGGGTTTCAAAAATATCAGTAATCATCATGCTTTGAACGTTTTTTTGACTATGGAGTAATCATATTGATCACCTTTTGGTGCATGGTGAGCAGTGGAATCATTCTTCCTACCCCCATGCCATTAGATTCTTCTCTTCCTCAAGAGTCCCCAATGAATAACTAAAGTTCCCATAAAGCAAAAAATGACTTTTTCTCTCTCTGCTGCTTTAAATCAAATAAGAAAAATAATCCAACCACAGTACTAAAAAGTAACTTCTGAGTACCTTACTTATTTTTCGTCTAATGAGAACTTGACATGCTACTTATTTTATTAATTTTTTTTATTATTTTTACGATCAATAACTACAAATAAATCAAAAAAAAAATAAATCTATGGCTTGAATCAGTACCATAGTCTTATCATTTAGATGAATGTAAGCACACACAGAGAGAGAGAGAGAGAGAGAGAGAGAGAGAGTTGTAATTTAATATTGGGTGTGAATTGTTGAAATAGGCCATTAATTTGTGTGTTTTGGAGAATGTAGGCCACGTACCTGCAATTCCATTGTTGAATGTTTAGGTCCCTCAATTTACTTGAGTTAGGCCTTTGGTTGAATGATTTTGGGATTCATTTGGGAAATAAAAGTGTACGATTGATGCAAGATGTTAAGAGAAAAAAAAAATTCATTGTATAGTTTTATGACTTTTGCGTAGATGTGATTTTCTTTGTTGAATGTTTATTATTCTTAATCATCAGGAAAAAGTGATTTTCTTTGTTGGATGTTTATTATTCTTAATCATTAGAAAAAAAAATTCGTGTGTTTATTGCTCAAGTGCGATCACCTCACTACAAATTTTTGATCTCTTTACTTGATTTTTTTCATATAGAAGTGTACCGAACAAACTTTATTGCGATTTTTCTGAAGTGTTCTCTGATTTCCCCCTTTTGTGAAGTTGATAGAAAATAAACCACAATATTGCTGTGGCCATATGAGATGGTACCAGTTCATTGACAATGGCCAATTGGAGGAGTAAGATGAACCTAAAGTGGCTTATTTTGGAACAAATCTATGATGCAGTGACACCAATCTTTGACAGGGTTAAAGTGAATCATCCCATATGGTTCATTCTTTAATACAATGAGCTTGAACGAACCAAAACCAACCCTAGCCCGAGAGTTGTTCATTAACAGCCCTCAGCAAGAATCAATTGGTTAATTGTCAAAAAAAAAAAAAAAAAAACTCATGAAGCAAAGAACTATGGCATTTACCATCCCATGCAATGCCATATAATTTTTAGCTTTCAAGTCCCCTTTCTTTAGTCACTCTCTTTTGCTGCTATACATGTTCAACCCATCAAAGGTCTTGCTCTTGAGCAACTCTTTTTGATCACTTGCCACAACTTCTGTCACTCTCTCCTACAATGAAAGAATCAGCTTCCGGCCTCCGAGATGCTCTTTAACGCCGGTTGCCATGGTCTTAATTTTGCAGTGGCCGAGTTCCCCGATGGCGATGTTCGTGCCCGATTCCTTTCATGCTTTTTCACCTAAAATTGCTTTATATGGTTAGAGAAACATTTTCATGGTCGAGGACATAATATTACAGAAAAAATGAGCTTTAGATGCACAATGGTCTTATTACCCTTTCACCTTGGAAACCTCTGGGATATATATCACTACAAGAATTTGGGTCTTTTGAGATAGTGTTTACCATTACAAAAAATGCATATTTTGGAGAGAAAAAAAATTATGGCAGTAATGATGTCATAAAATACTTATTTGATGTTGCAAATACTATTTAAGAAGACAGTTGCTATCATAAAGATTTTTTTGAGACTACACTTATTATGGCGAGGCATGTCATGACAACACCTTATTGTAAACAGTAGAGTCAAAAAATCTTTTAGACGGTACATCCAGTCTCAAATAATTTTTGTAGCAATAAATAAATTTTTTATTACAACACTATCGCCACAATTAGAGAGTATAGAGACTCAATTGATATAAAAAAAAAATTCAGCGACTTAATTGATACAAGAGTCATATACTCATAGTTTAAGAGTCATAGGTGTATTTTATTCCATATCATTTGTGTCACTTGAGTGACACACTTTGTCACTTCCATTAGAAAATTTAACGGAAGCAGACAGAAAGGCTCAGTTGACACAATTAGATAATTCAATGACTCAATTGATATCAAAAAAAAAATCAAGGACTTAATTGATATAAATGTCATTATTTAAAGATTATATGTATAATTTGCTTTAAATTTTTTGAACAAGTGGGAGACAATTTTGAAAAATCTGTCGCTTTTTTGCTTACTTTTGATAAAGTGGAAAACAACTTTGAGAAGAATCTTTTGCTTTGTACTACTTTTGCTTCAAGAATAGTGTTTGTTGCATTCCAAAAAGTCATGTTATTTTGGAAGTATTAGGGTCAAAATTCCCAAGCAAATCAGTTTTCTTAGAATTGGCTTTAATATGTCTAATGATATTTGTATGATGAGTAGACCATGGAAGAGGATTATTTGTAAATCTTAACAAAATACAGAAATATAATTTAAAAATGAGATTAATCTCTAAAATTATTTTTTATTTTAAATTTCATTAATAAACTTGTCAATAAATTAAATTAATCTTTTAAATAGGATAATGGTTCTATAATGAACATTATGTCGGACCAAGAATAATATAATTCTTGGGTATTGCAAAATAGAATTCGAGATTTTCTTGAAAAAAAATTTAATTAGCAAAAGTCATTCTTTCTTATGATTTGGACAATTTCCAACTAACCCTTTTAGACAATTTCATGTCTCTGATAATATAATTTCCTTCTTTTTTTTTCTCTTTTGCAAGCAACCTTTATAAACAGTTGTAATTCACCATTTTAGGAAAGGATGAAACTGAAAGCATTTGCTTTACTCTATATCAAGCTTATGAACATGAGTTATCATAATCATTAGTACTATTTGTGTTTAAAACCTAATTAACAAGATATAAAGTATAAACAGAATAGTGTTTGGAGCAGAACCAAACATACCCCTCATAAATTATTTTCATGCAGAATTTATTTCATGTTTATTCTCAAGTTTTATTGATTTACAGAACGAGCAGATATAGAATCACACCAATTTCGAAAATTGTCTTTCTGAATATTCTTCAAATGAATGGGAATTGTATTCCGTACAGATATATTTAGAGTATTAAGAAAAATATTAGTGGACATTAAGAAAATTATTACCTGGTGGATCTTGTCCCTGTCAGTGCTTCTTCTTGCTGTCTCAAAATGTGAACCAGCTTCCTTCTCTTTCATTCTTTCTGGCTTATCAGCTGAATCTGATTGTTTGTTCTTCATCTTTGCATACTTTTTTTCCCCCAAACCTTTCATAACCTCTAGAAATCAAAAGCCACAGAGAAATTTAATAACCAAACTGAACAATTTTATTGTTGAAACAAGTCTAAATATACTTCAAAAATTCAAGAACAAGCACTGAGTAACTAACAGACCTTCAGTGGTGATGAGCCTATAAGCATGACCAAGAACAAGAGTATCAGTTTGCCGGAGAAGTTTAATGCGTGTAATGCGAACTGGGTTGTTGGTGGTGGCGGCAGGGGTGGTGGTAGTCATATTCTTGTCATTGGTGGTGGTGGTTGTGGTGGTGGAGGAATACAAGGTGGTTGCAAGGAGAAGAGCAACATAGTGGCCAGGGTTCATCTTCATAATTTCACAAGCAGTTACAGGGCAATACAGTTTGTCCACTCTACCACTTGGGTGTTGTATTACTAGACTTGCATTATCAATGGCTTGGCAATTTCCCATCTCTCTCTCTCTCTCTCTCTCTCTCTGTGGGTGAGCAAGGAAAGAGGCAGAGTCTGCCCCAGTATATTTACAGCTAGCTCTCTCTCTCTCTCTCTCTGTGGGTGAGCAAGGAAGGAGGCAGAGTCAGCACCAGTATATTTATAACTAGCACCCACCACCCACCACTCCTCATATGGGTGATGACGTCAACTCTGTATATAGTGTGTGAAGCCTCTGTAAAAAAGATGAACTTTGTAACAGTCCCAAGTGACTGTACTCATTGAGGACTCCCCATTAATGGCACAGAATATACAGAGTCACCAGTGAACATTCCAGTTTTTGTCATGTTTGACAATGACACAAAGGTTTTACTTCTCTGATTCGAGTTCAGGTTACTGCAACCGGACCAATATTCAAAAGAGTAAAATTACATTTACCATAGTCGCACGATGAAAATCGAACACTCGGGTTTAATCTCTTTACCCCCACTTAGCTCAATTTTGTACGTATGATTCATAAATGAGTAGTGTTATATATCTCAAATTTATAACTCAAATTTGTATCTCAAATCATTCAAAAATATAATACAAAATAGAATAAGCAAATGTGAATTTCAATTTTATAGAGGTCCAATTGTAAATAGATGAACCCATTAGATATATTCAATAAATGGGTGAATACGAACTCTGAGTAGGTCGAGTCGCATCTAATTTAGTACCTTTCAAATCATTATCAATATACGTCAAGAATAAATCTCAAGTTGTCTAAATTATCTATGATTCAATTTTGAGTCATCGAGTTATCGTCATCGCCATTAAATCGAGTGATAAAATTTTACGATGATGTTATATAGTTTGAATATCTGATCATATTCAACTTCTTTTTGATTGCATCGTCTTATATCACGTTGCGATTAATGTCTCTTAAAATCTTTCGAATTAATGACCGATATCACGATTTTGATTGAGACTGTGATGTGGTGACCTGTGATTGGTTGGGTTTGAGAAGGGAGAGAATGTTGGAGTACAGGTGATTTTTTACTTCATAATTGATACGTTGCGTCCGTTATGCACCAGCTGTTGTGCAGTACCATTCTAAAATTGTCATTTGATGGCCCCACATATGTTGATATTGTCGCTTGATAATAAAAAAATAGAAATTTACATTGATACCCACTAAACTTTGTCACTAGATCATACAAGACTCTCAAGCATAATAAATAACACCTAGGACCCCAAATTCCTAACCCATCACTGAAATCAAGTCTAACAATCCCAACCCACCGTCACCACCACCCATCAACCATCCCTACCCCTTTGCTACAAACCCACTATCCCTCCAACACCTTGACCTATCCATTTCACCATACCCAAAGAAATCAATTCCACACTACACGCACATAGTATCACCACTAAAAACCTATGAAGGCATATGCAACTATTGCAGCACACAACCATTGATCTTACCAAACCTCTCTTTAGTAAAAATTGAACCTCAAAATCTCTATGGCCATAGGAATTACCAAACACAATAAAAACCCTATACTAGTTCATTTCATAATCGAAGAAGGAATCGCACGATTCCAAATAAAAGAATGTAAAGCGTGAAGATATATTTAAGGGTTCAGATTGATATTTGGATTTGGGTTGGATTTATTTGTTATTTATTATAGGGTAAAGATATGATACACGAATGAAAATGGTATTCTTTCATATATTAGGGAGTTCATGTGATTTACTACAAATATTACGGTGCCCAAGTGTAATTTATTGTACAAATGAAAAAATGAATATCTTGTGGTTACTTCTGCATGCGCTTGAACATTGAGTGTGGGATCAGCATGACTGCATGAGAGAGAGAGAGAGAGAGACGTTTCTTATTGCTGACCAGATCAAACCAAAGCAAGCAGAGGCGTGAAATTGAATGGAAAGATAAGGAGGAATGAGTTCGAATGAGGTATGAGTATGGGTCCCACCCCCACACGCTGCATAACAAACACACTTACCGTAATAAGTGGGTTGTCTCGTGTGATTGCTTCGACACTCATTCCCCCTCTCAGCGTTACCAATGCTAAAATGTGGTGCGGAATTTTAATTTATTTTTTTATTTTTTGGTATTACAGACATCCGATCACGATCACTTAGACTAATTTTTTTTTAATTTTATTAAAATTAAGTCATTCATGTCAAGAAAACATTATTCAATGCTCACAAAATACCCCGTTGTAAATGTCACGTGATATTTACGTTCAACTGCAAAATTATAAAAAATTTATATCTCATAAAAATCTTAGTTTTAGTGTAAATTACTTACATTTGACTGAACCGATGAGAAATTTAGTTGAAGTACGTGTGTGTGCCCAAAAAATTCTACCTGCTAAACCAAAATTAAAAAATTATGATAACATATATTTGTCAGACATTATTTTTTAATTTTATTAAAATTAAGTCATTCATGTCAAAAAAACATTATTCAATGCTCACAAAATACCCCGTTGTAAATGTCAAAATTATAAAAAATTTATATCTCATAAAAATCTTAGTTTTAGTATAAAGTACTTACATTTGACTGAATTGATGAGAAATTTAGTCGAAATACGTGTGTGTGTGTGTGTGCAAAAAATTCTAACTGCTAAACCAAAATTAAAAAATTATGATAACATATATTTGTCGGACATTATTTTTTTAAAAAAAATACTCTTCACAATTTTGTAAGCGACAGCGATTGATTGGGTTGGGTGTGTGAGGCAGCACTGTAAAGTTTTAAACCCTTGTTTTTTCCCCCTACAATTACAAAAACACTTTGGCCAGCACTCAAAATTTTCAGACCCTTGGTTTTCCCCCTACAATTACGAACACTTGGCACATGTCCTCATCTCAGAGAATGGGTTTTTGCTAAAACAGAAACGCTAGAACTTTAAGGGTACTTTAAGCGATAGCATCGATAAATTATAAATACAGATATTTTAAATTTAAATTTTAATAATTTTTTAAAGTAAATTATAAGAGATTTATCAATCATTAATCATTTTAACAAAAAAGATATTTAAGTTCATATCAAAATTCAAACTCAAATTCAAATCCCGGATCCGACCCCCCCGCAAATTCCACCTTCTCCTCCCATGACCACTAACATCAACCCCCTTCCTCCCCGTGCTGTCCATTTCCCCACCCCCACCATGTGCATACAGTAATAATGGCTCCAAATGGAATGCTCTTTCACTTCTATCTGCCATATATGTAGGACTAGTACCAACAATTCATCATCGAAACTTTACGTACTATGTTGGGATGACCAACCAATAGTAACTCATTTGTTAAACCTAGTGTTAAAAACAGGATTACTTAAATATGATCGTTACAGTTCAATTCCAATTATCACTAGGGTATGATAGAGGTTCAATTCTCATAGTTGTCGAGTAACAAAATAAAACTAAAAGCGTTTGTATATTCAGTGCACAACCATAAATTTTAGATTCAGAGTGATGTTTAGTATTCATACATTTAAGAAATACGTGACGAATTCAAGTTTGGGATCTAATTTCTTCAAAATGATGTTAAAATTACGAACCACATATCTCTTATAACCCTAGTTATAAATTAATGTATTGTGAATCATATGGGATCTGTTAGAGAATGATTCAAATGCACACCAAATGTTTGGTTAATTTAGCTTATCAACCTTACTAGTGGTCTATGCAGAATTATCATATCAAGTACGAGACCATTGAAAAGGTTTGTTCGATGCTGTTGGATTTGGAAACAGAAACTCTTACACAGTTGCGCTTGGTATAGCGGCAGAGTTGTTCTATTGTAATTTGAGCATCAAAAGTTTTAGTTATAGAAACAGTCTCTTCCCTTACGATTATTAGACTACACACATATAATCCTCTCTCTACTACGAGATAACCGAAAACTTCGTGCACTGTCTGAACTTGTATATAAAGTGATTTCCCATCAAACCCAAAAGAGAAAACATAAAAATCAAAAGCTGGACCAAACAGTCTGTGTAAGGTTTTTCTGTCTTCATATAAGACGAATGACAAAGACATTAGTGGTCCTCTGTTTTACCTGCATTACTTACTACTATGATTTGATCACCACAACTTGTTTGTTTTAACAGGAAAATCTGCTAGTGGTGTACCACTTTTCACTATTGCTGCTTTGTGTTGAATTAAAGCTAAAAAGCATACCCTTTGCTTTGATCTTTTTGAATTGGTCGGAAACAAAAAAGTCACAGTCTAAAACTAAAGGCGAATTTTGTATTTTGAAAGATTTTAAATTTTTTATTTAATACCCTTGATGTATCAAAATATTACAATATTATCCTTCTATTAGCTTTCTGTTTGTTTTTTCTGTTAGTGTAAATGGGTTGAATTTTGACCAAAAAAATAAAGAAAGCTAACAGAAATGTCACATTGAAACACTTTTGATACATTGAGGATATAATGTGATAAATTTAATCTTTGAGGGCACAAAATAAAAAATTTGAAATCTTTTAGGGTACAAAGTGTGAAAAATCCTAAAATTAAATCTATGTAGGATCAAACTATAAAGAATATTTGAACTAACGTGGAAATATTTTCAACCAAGTGTTTCCTTTAATTTAACAAGGTAAGAAAGTAAGTTCATCAACTTTGATTCAAAATTATTACTTTTTTTTTTTATAACACATGTTAAGGCAAAGGTATACTTTTTCCCCACCTTCCTGCTATTTGCCTAGCTATGCTCTCTTCCAGATCAAATGGGTGTAGTATATTCCTTTTTTAGTAATCGAGAATCTCCCTAAACATGAATTTTTCAGACCCATGACTGCAATTCAAAGCTCGCATAATCATTCGTAACTAAATTTATCGGTTAAAGCCGAATTTTATATATCTAAAGACACAAATTCAAGAGTGCGGATTTTCATCTCACCCCTTATTCAACCACTAATTAGACCATGTGGGTAGAGTACTGTCATACCTCATACACTGAATTATGTAAATTCGAATATTGTGCTTCATATCAGTTGACAGTGAG